ACAAAAAAAAAAATAATAAAAATTTGTTTTCGTTGCTTTCTGACGGTTGCTTCACTGGCTTCATTTTTTTATTCATTCTGAACGTTTGGGATAAACTTTTTTGTTTACTTATTCCTTAGAATGTTCCTGATATGTTAACGTATTTTTCAAACGCCTTCTGTTTATTCTCTCTGTGAAATGGGATTATCTGGAACGCAGCAACTATGTTTTGACGTTTCTCACGATGTAGAGAGACAGAGATGGCGCATTCAGCAGTACCGCTACCTTGGTTTTGGCGAATTTGACAGACTCTGCTGTGTGGCGGCCACCGCTATTTTTTGTTTCCTCCATCTCCACTTTTCATTGCGAACGTGACGTCATCACCCGCAGGAATGCGCCATCTTGTATTCTATTATTCTGGAACGTTTCTTCGCTATTATGCGAAAATGTCTTGTCGCTCCCTTTGTCGCGTCACTATGTTCTTTGCCTAAAGCGGAGATTAGACTAGGTTCACACAGAGAAACTTTTGTTGCTCATTTTCGGCAATTTCTCTTTTGGTGTTGCCCTTCGCATTCACACAGAGAAATTGTTTTTTATACACAATTGTTGTCAGCTATGAACGCCGTAGCTTTTAAAGAACGATTTTCTAGTCGACGAAAACGAAACAAATTCATTTTCTAGGTTTTATGTTTTTCTTTCACTATGATTATTCAGCATTTTGCCTTCACAACATTCCAAAGTATCCACTTAAATAAACCTTTACATAAAATAATTAAAAAAATAGGATTAAAACTCAAAATGTCAATGTTGCCTATAAGCAACATCGGTTCTCAAAGGGTTAAGACCACTGTTCAGCAGTCAGCTGGGGAATTGCTGAATGCGAGTTTTTGTGAAAGTCTGGATGGTATATAGAAAAGTAATTTGTCAGTTTTTCCAGATTGGCGATTTTAATCGTTTTTTTAAATTGAAGTTGGTAGTCCCAGAGCAGCTTTTAAAGTAATTAAAATTGATTTAAATGTATATATTTATACTATCAAAAGGCCTTCTGGGCGTTTTTGGGCACGAGGAATCTGAATCTGCAATTCATTTTTACCAAAACAGCCGAGGTGCGCTTACATGCAAAAGAAAAAACATGAAACATTAGGGCTGTTCAGAATGCTTTGGAAATGGTCTTGGATTTACAGTTGGAATTGCATTTGGAAATTTTCTGCTTGTTGCCATGGCAGACCCTAAAATCCTAGAAAGGCATTTTGATGGTACTGATATTTGTAATTAAATTTTAAATTGTTGGTTTCATCAATTCCCCAGAAAAAACTGAAAATATCGTACAGTGTAATTAAATATGTAGTTGTAAGAAATCATGTATTTCTAGGCAGGTGAAATAAAAAAGTGGGCGTTATCCTTTCTTCAAATGCAATGGGGGATCCATAACAAATCGTTAGTATTAGAAGATGATAAAATAAACCATTGGTTATTATTATTAGAAGTCTTCTGAAGTGAAACAGAGCTTTGCGATCGAAAAATATTGATTTTAACCCTTCTGCAGAGTTTGGAATTTACCCCTTCCGATAATGAATAGAAATTAGTAAATTTTAAGAAAAACCGATATTTCAACATGAATTCAGTTAATATTTTATTTATCATATGCAGACACTTTATTGACAAGTGCTGTATGCTTAGCTATTCAAAGTTGCTCTTAAATACTAAATAATAATTTGGGTCAAAATTACCCAAAAATACTGTGGGTGTATGGAAAAACTAAGTCGCCTTCTAGAAAATAAAATAAAATAAAAAACTCTTTTATTTTTTGTAAACCGTAGCTGATTATGTTTTTAACGAATAGATAACGCCGCAGCTTCTTTAAAATTGCCTAACTCTAGGTAATCTTGACCCAATCACCGCAGAAGGGTTAAAGAATTCTATACCATTTCTACGAAAAAGTGTGTGTAGGGTGTTAGATCTTACCATTTTAAACTTTGTTTACCACCCTAAGGTATGTATATTTAAAATTTACAACTTTAAATTTATTCAAGAAGTAATTGAAACAAAAGGCAAATACGCTATACTAACTAAAAATTGTGATCAGTTTGAAAGTGGCGGCGCAGTAGACGACATCCAGTAGAATATTTTCAATTCTAGTAGACGTTTCATATTTTTATTTAAAAAAATTTAAAGGTGCGTTGATCCTTCAAAGGACAACATACATACAAAAGTACGTACATATGTGCATACAGTCATACATATTTGTGAATGCAGCTATCGATGAATTGGTATTGGAATTTTTCATATGTGAATAAATAACTTTTTGTTTTCTTTGTCATTTTAAAATTTTATAGAAAAAACAAAATTACTATACTTCTTTTTCACTTCGAATTTGATTAGAGTGTTATAGTTCATTTCCACCAAGCCTTAACTGCTGTTTATGCCCATTGGAAAAGGAGACTACAACTCGAATGGGGTAATTGCACAGAGCTCGTATAAGCATAAGAAAGTAAAGAAGCAGAAGATGAGAAATAAACCTTTGTGGATCACCCCATATTAAAATTTTTGAAGGTGGAAATGGGCTACTAAATTACTATGTGATTTATAACCCAAAGTTTTGTTTATTTGTCGCTGCATAGAAGTTAAAAATCCTGCAAAAACTTTATTTTTCAATAAGAAATTATTATTATTATTTTTTTTTTTTTACATTTCAAATCCAAAAATGTAAGACTTTCCAAATTTTGCACGAGTAGTCAAAGTTTTTTATTAAGTTATTATTTTTGTGGTTGTTATTAACTTTCAAGGGAATTAAAGTTTATTTTGATCCTGTTTGCTTACTACTGTCAGTTTTTTTAATTATGTAAACATTGTCTCGGTTGCAAAAGAATTGACCTTTCGTCTTTTCAGGAAAAGTATTTATGCAATGGCAAGCACCTACATACATATGCAATTCTGAGCTATACTATGTATATATACATATGTACATACATACATATTTTACGTCGATGAATAGGTTAACGTACCATGAAGCCGAATCAATCCACATTTATAGTTAAAACTTACTAAAGAAAACTAAAAAACCGAAATGTAAATTCGTATCTACAATGTAGAGGTACAAGCATACATGTGTTCAATACCTTTGTAAATATACATATGTATGTACATATGTGCACTTACAATACAGTATCAACGAAGTGCGTCAAAAATTTCAATAAGTGCTTAATTTCTATGCAAATCGCTAAAAGTTCAATCAGAAGTGAACCGTACTAACACTGTATGTATGTATGTATGTATGTATTTACATTAGCCTAGGTTGATCGCCATACAAAAGAAAAATGTTCGCATTTACTCCCCTAGTTTAAAAGCTTGCTTTGAGAGGATTTTAGGGTCACACAAATTTTCGTCCTTGGCGACTCCTAAAAACAGCCAAAATCGAAATTTCTTCCTAACTTTTTCTTTTATGACTCGATTTCAAAGTGTGATATATCGTTGAAAAGATGTTGTTGTTGTTGTATTTGTTTGTTACGCTTCCAAGAAAGTCATCGCTTGCTAAAGTGTTTAATTTTATGAAATGTGGTGTAGAAACTGAGTTATTAGAATTTAGTAAGCTTTATTAGAAGGATGTATAGTACCAAAAAATATTTATGACCTAAAAATCCTCTCAAAGTAAACTTTCAAAGTAGGAGGGGGAGGGGAGGTTTGTTGCAAACTTTTTCCGCGATCCCGTCTAATGTACATATTTATTTAGATGCATATGTACATATTAAGTATTTATGTAGGTATAGATATACATACATATGCAGCTACTTTGTATGTATGTAGGTAAATACTTATACGAACATATGTCCCTGCAAAAATCGTTAGAACCATGTAGTCTATTTGTGGTATATATTGGAGTACTTACAAAAGTGCTCCTCTGCTGTAACGGGCCAACTTGTGTCTCTGCACCAGATTATTGTTTTTTACCCGGTCACTGCTCGTGTTTTAACGAAATGTGATTAAAGTTGAGCATTTGAAAGCACATTTGCGTGTCTGGCTGTAGCTGAACGTGTAGAGATGTTCGCTGTTATTTGTTAGCTCCCAGCAGGTTCGGGTTCGAATGCCATTAGAGGCAAAATGTAATTTTTTATTTTTATTTTTGTTTTGAGTTTTTATTAATTGCGAAAAAAACATCTGTGAAGTTGTTCTTACTTACGAAAAAATATATCAACAATGCATTGTTAAAATGTTGGAGTAGCAGCAGCAGGGCAGGAGTATATGGTCCTGCCCTAAGGCTTCGCAATGTTAGTTGGAGCACATTTTTTATATGAATTGTGGTTAATTTTGGAGTACTCCTTGACCCTTAGGGAGTTCTCTTTATATGCATGCATGGAGCATTAGCGATTTTTGCAGGGGTTCATTTGTATATGAATGTATCGAGCCCCAACCGCCAAAATTTTTTTTCAAAATTTTATTTTTGATGCAGAAATATTCCTAGAGCATCTATATGCATTTCTGCATCAAAAATAAAATTTCGAAAAAAATGTCGCTTACATTATTTTGGCGGTTAGGGCTCGGTATTGTTTTAGGCACTCCGCACATTACGCGCCTTATCATAGTAGAGTAATCGTTTTTCATCATGCCGAAACGAATACCTGACGGCTCGAAGTCTGAGCACTTGCGCGCCCTGCATAAGTCCCAGCTAATTAATACAGACGATACATTGCACTTTTCTGACCGTTCTTTGTCCATTACATATTTTCGCGCCTATTTTTGCACCTTTGATTCAATACCACTTGGACGAATTTGACTTGGACTATGTTTTTTTTTTGTACAACCTAAAATTTAAACAAATGATGATTTCTAAACGGCAAGTGCCCTTAAATGTTGAGCGCTTCGATTCATGCAGCTTTTATGATAAGGCAATATAAATATGTGCTCGGCACGAAAGCTTCATGTTGTAGTATGCCGAAACGATTACACTATTATGATTAGGGGCTTTGTGTGCGGAGTGCCTTCCTGTGCAAACAAATAAGGTAAGTAATATTAGTTTATTTCATTTATTTACAGAAGAAATGTCGATAGCACAGTTTTTCGAAAACCAGGAGATCTTCATCACTGGCGGCTCAGGTAAGTCTCTCATGCAAATTATGTATGTATAATCGCTGGAATGCATTATACATACAAATATTTGAAGAAAACTTCAACATTCGCTTTTTTCGAATATTTTCTAAACAGCTGGCGCTAATATAAAATTTAGGGCCTTTTCTCATGTAGGCTTTAAAATTTGTGTGGTCCTTTAAACACAAATTTTGTTCTGAAATATATGCTTGAAGGGCAGAAAAATTGAAAACCTACTTGAGAAAACGGCACTTAGTGTAATTAAAATTTTTAGTGTTTACATATTTAAAGCCTGTTTACCACCGGACATTAAATATAAAATATTTTAATGACAATTTGGGCATTATATGTATATGATTCTGATAAATAGAATTTTTGAAAATGCAAAGTTTTGACATTAAATTCACGTACTAATATTGAATTAATATTGGATTGGATATTAAACTATGCAATTGTTTTACTTTTATAGAAAACTTTGTATGCTTTTGTAGGTATACACAGTATCGGATCGGAACTAAACCAAATTAGTATGGGATAACCCTTGAGGTACCACCTTGTCGATCCCAACCCCAATCCCAAGTCGATTGTTTTTATTCGAAATTTGTTTGATAATAAATTTACACGATTGACCGATTGAGCGAAATATGGCCAAAGCTGCATTTTTTGAATTTTTATGGGAGCATAAAAACTTTCGAAATCTGCCTTATCCTGAGTTTCGCCCAAAAAAAAATTCATCCGCCCATAGTAAATACATGGAAACGAAAAGTGAAAAGTGAACCGACTCGGGGAATACGTCTGAGACCTCTCACGCTCCCTCCATATAGCCAAATAACTCATATCGAGCCCTAACTGCCAAAAAGCTGTAAGCGACTTTTTTTTCAAAATTGTATATTTTGATGCAGAAGTGCATCGATAGAAAGAAGATGCTCTAGGAACGTTTCTGCATCAAAATGAAAATTTTGGAAAAATGGCGTTTACATTTTTTTTTATTATTAAATATATATTTTTAATTCATCATAAGTTCATATTTCCTTTCCTTTTCTCAGGCTTCATTGGTAAGGGTCTTATCGAAAAAATTTTACGCTCTTGCCCGAATGTAGCTGCAATATTTGTTTTGATGCGCCCAAAAAAAGGCAAATGCATAGATGAGCGTCTGCAAAATATATTGCATTCAAAACTCTTTGAACGATTACGAGAAGAGCAGCCACAAAATTTGCAGAAAGTCCATGCAATAGCGGGTGATTGTAGTCAACTGGGTTTGGGTATTAGCGAAGATGATTTGTTACGCTTACAGAATGTGAATATTATATATCATTCGGCAGCGAGTGTAAGGTATTGTATAATTATGTTTCATTGCACCACCCTATTAACATAAGTAACAAATGTACATACCATACACTGATTATTTAATTTATTTGAACATCGCTGATTTTTCATGAAACGCCTTTATATATATGTACCTGTATATGTGCATATGAATGTAAAAAATGTATGTAATGCAATTATCGATACACAGATTCGATGACCCATTGCGTGAAGCTATACTCATGAATACACGCGGCACTTATGAGCTCATCAAAATCGCAGAGACTCTGAAACATCTGAAGGTGTTTATGCATGTTTCCACTACATATTGTTATCCCAACAGACATGTTGTTGAAGAGAAGGTATAGTTAATTTAATTTAATTTATTTTATACTATTAAATTTTGTGGTTATTTTTAGTTCTATCCCTCTTATGCGGATTGGCGTACAACCATCAAATTAGCTGAAACTTATAGCACAGAATCTTTGAATATATTTAATCTTAAGTGAGTTTACAGTGGATGAATATATATGTTTAGCTTTCGATTTATTTGTGTAATGAAAAACGCTTTTACTCTGTTGTGCACAGATATGGCGATTTCCAACCAAACACTTATACATTTACGAAAAGTTTAGCTGAACAAATTATTAAGGAGTACAAGGATCGATTGCCTTTGCTGATATTTCGTCCATCAATAGGTGGGAATACTTACTTTTTATGTACATACATACCTTCAATTAATTGTATATATACTCGTTTCCTGAATGAATGTCATAATTCAAAAAATCAAAAGTACAAGAAAAATGGGTTTATGGTTTTTAGTCAGCCTTTCTCATTAAAAAAATAATAATAACTAACCACTTTATTAATGCGTAGATATCGCTATGAATTTTTTAACAAATTAAGCACCCCCGAGTCTAAAGTTAATTTGAAAGGCTATTTAAAAAAGAAAAAATAATTTTTTGGCCGAACGAAGGGGCGACTTTTTTAACTTTTCGTCATATCTTCGGCATTCAAAGTCGGATCTTAAAATATAATATATCGATATTTTTGACTCGAGGATATTCTTTTCTTTGTTCCAAAGTTCATTGACCCTAACGTACCACCCTAATGCCAATAAAGTAAAGCTCAGCAAGTAAGTATTTCGATTATTTCAGTAGAACTATGTAAACAAATTTTTTTCTCACCGAAAAATGTAAAAAGGCCTAACTTATTTTCGGGATTTTTTTTTCAAAATTACTTTATAAAAAGACCTGAGGACGCAGGGGTGTATGGCCAATTTTTTTTGGTTTGCTTGTAAGGTGGCATGCACCATATATTACATATTTACTAAAATACGGTCACAAATTACAGGATGAAAATTTTAAATGATGTATGTGGGCATTTCTCAGGAACTTTTGAAACATAAATAAGAAAATGGAAACTCGGTTTTCAAGCCGGGTAATGTATAGTAGAAGGGTCTTCCTTTAAACTCGTAAAAACCTCGTAAACCTCGTAAATTTACGAGCCTCCTGAAAGAACTGTCAACATTTTTATGGAGCTATATTTACGAGCCCCTCTTAAATTTTCCAGGCAAATTTGATGCGCAAACGACCTCGTAAACTTCAGTGTTGCCGAAGGTCCGAAATTTTTATATTAAAATGTATGATAAAATAATGGGATAAAGAGTACGTTCACGAATGTCGTAATCCGAAAAATATGTTTTTATGTGACGAGTAATACGATACCGTATGTGACGATTCGAGCCCTGATCAGGTGTTATGTATGTTTAAGGATCGTTGAACACGAATCTTAAGTCCGTTTTGATCCATCAGATATAGCGATTTTGAAAATATATGTATCTACGAAACTATGCATAATCATCAAAATCAAAAGTTCCTGTGATATACCCATATACATACATACATATGTACATACTCATTATATATATTTACTAATTAATAATTTATTCAAAATGATTTCACAGTGGTTTCATCAATTGAAGATCCTGTGCCCGGTTGGGTAGACAACTTCAACGGTCCCATTGGAATGTTGGTGGCTTGTGGTATTGGTATTTTCCGCACAAGCTGTGCCGAACCGGATATTGTCTCTGACTTTGTGCCAGTAGATGTGGTCGTACGTTCCATGCTAATTGCAACCTATCGTAAGGGAACTGAAGAATGGTAAATTTTAAATAAAAGAGAAGAAACTGAAAATTAATTTGCTTCCGTCTATTTTGCTAGGAATAAGAATGATCCGAAAGTGGAGGTAATTAATTGTGCTGCTTCCAAAATATGTCCCATAACGACTGGCGAAGTTATCGAGATCGGCAAGAGAGTTATCAAGGATACACCATTTGAAAAGACATTGTGGGTGCCAGATGGCAGCATAACACGTTGTCCAGTGTGGAATTTCATTCGGGTTTGTATAAAATATTTATATATACTTCATGTTACTCATAATCATCTTTAGCGCCTATATCATAGCTTGCCATTTTAAGTTTTTTAGAGCATTATACAATTTTCTCAGTGGGTAAAATTTACACCAAAAGAAGCAAATAATACGTTTGTGGACCAATGTGTTAGGTTTTAAAATAAACTATCAAAATATTTGTTTGACCCCATTCGATAAGTATGTATGTACAATGTACAGTGCCCCCTGAAAAAAATTTTGAAGGTTAATAGTTCTATTCAGGAAACGTAAATTTCAAATATGTATGTACAGTGACGAACAAAAGTATTGGCACCAAGAATGTTTCGCAATATATGCAAAGTTTTTTATTGTGATTTCTTTTTGATAATTTTCTATAAAAGTATAGTTCATACTACATCAAAAAACATAAAAATAAAAGCTCTAAACTTTGTGCAAAATTCAGAAACATTCAATAAATTTGCATACTAATTTGCAACTTTCTATTCAGGTTTTTTTTTAGAAAAGAATGCTGTTTTATATCCCATTCAAATTTAGCATAACAATTATTTTCTAAGCATTATTTTCTTTCATATACAAAAATTGTCGAATCTACTTTTTATGGAAGAAACTTCGTTAAAAAAATTGCCAAAAATCAGCGAATTTTTTTAGCGCTTCAAGCTTGCATACTTTAATTAAATGGGCTATAATATAAAACTGCATACTTAGAATTTTTCTAAAAAATCTGAGTAGGAAGTTGCAAATTAGTATGAAAATTTTAATGAAAAACTTTGGATAAATTGCGAAAAATTCTCTGTGCCAATACTTTTGTTCGTTACTGTATGTATGTACGCATAGAAGGAGTATTTTCTAGAATAATTTTTTTTAAATTTGATCATTAATTCATACTACTCTAGGTTTATTAAACAGGTAGTAGTAAAATAATATTACTCATACGCCACATCGTACATTGCCAAACTCGACCATCCTTCTACATGGCGTATGAGTAATGTGACCCACCGTACTTCATTCGGACGTACAGTACATCTTTTTGAGGGATTGTTAAGGGTTGTTTTTCCCCTTACTTTGTTTTTGTCTCTCATTTCCAAAAATTCATGGGTGAAAAAAGAGTTCAATTTTGTGGCATTTAAACATAATTGATTTGTTGAATTGGTATATTGTCAACGTTTTTGTATATTTCGCTTTTACCATTTTGTCATTACTTTCATACTATTTTTGGTTCTCAGGTCTTGTACTTTTTTGAGCTATGAAATAGTTGGTCACATTATGTATGAGTAACATTTTCCATGTAAATGTGCGATTTTTTTTTTCATTCACAATGCAAACTTAAAATGAAAATATTTTGAGAAAATGACCTGATCTAGAAAAACGATAAACAAATCCGTAATCTACGACCCAAAAAAAGAGTAGCCTATTTTTTGACATTTTAGATACAAGACGCAACAAAAAAGTACACGTAAATGTTCTTTTTGATATAATGCTGCTACCTGTTTGATATGCCTTGATACTAATTTTGAACAGTTATACTTGTTTAGAATTTATTTACAAAATCCACATATTTTCCACTTTTTCTCTTCAGTTCGTTACTCTGCATGTTTTAGTGGCAATTTTCGTCGATTTTGCCTTGCGTTTTACCAACACGAAACCATTGTAAGTATAAAATTAAAAAAAAAAAAACAAAAAACGGATTTCTTTAGTATGAATTAAATTAAATTTTATAAATTTATTTATTATTATTTATTTAGTCTTTTGAAACTACAACGTCGAATTTATGCTGCTACTTTGGCTCTGCATTTCTTTGTAAATACAGAATGGGATTTCAAAAACGATAACTTTTACGCTTTGAATTCATTTGTGCCGGATTCGGAAGAGTAAATATTACAATTTTTAACTTCATTCCAAATTCAAGGATTAATGTTACACAAATTTCTTAAAATTTTCCAGACATATATTCGGCTTTTTACAATTCAGAGATCTTGATTATGAACAATTCTTTCGCTCAGGTATACGAGGCGCTCGCGTATTTTTATTGAATGAACCGGCAACGTGTTCCCAAGGCGCCCTGACACGCATGAAGATTTACAAAGTATTACATTTCCTAATTAAGTTAATCGGAAGTGTGTTGATTCTGCGTTGGATTGGACGCTTTCTTTATGCAAAATTTTATGCCACTTTCGTTTAGTTGGATGAAAATACCAAATATGAAGTCATTGTTAATTTTCTTTGACTATAGGCTATTAAATAGTTTTTTTGTGAATAAACCATTCTTTTGATTTTTTATTTAAAATTTATTTCAACAGTCATGAGGTGGGCAGGAGTTATCTGAATTTAATTAAATGAAAACTAATCAGTCTTGTTCTGAAAATCATGTAATTCGAAATCGGTGTGATTCACAAGCAAAATATTTCAGAACAGTTTTTATTGATATCTTCACAAATTTTGGAAATACTATCCCTAGTTTTATATATATTAGGAAAGCTAATGAAATTTTCCATAAACCGTATGTGCATCACTTTTCGATAGCTCTGATAGTTTCTGAGAAATTATCTAATAATTTCGATGCAAACACTCTGCCTACTCAGGTGTGCGTGGCGTATGAGTAACACTCTTTTCTGCTCATATTTCATACAAAAAAATCCTTGCGCATATTCACTTGACCAATCATTACTTTCTTATTTATCCATCGATTTTCTTCATTGGTAACTGAATTTTTTTCAGGAGGAACAGGTAAAACATTTACACAGAAACTGTTATTTTTTAATTTTTTCCCTGTTAAAGTTTGAATTTTTTAATCGAAAAAACAAAAAATCTGGAATGATTAATTAATTTCTCAGACACTGTCAGGCCTATAGAAAAGTGATGTATACACAGCTTATGGAGAATTTAATTGGCTTTGATTTTTCGTATTACAATTGTTCAGATGTTTCGTAAGATATACGTGATTAAGTGAAACCATTCTTTTTTTAGGCTGAATAACGGTAAATTGCAAATATCTAGAAAACGTATACATACAAAAAAAATTAACTCTATTGTCGGAATCAGCGAGCGATTCTACATACAAATTGGATAGTGGCGTCTGGAGAACAAAAACAAAACTAAAATTTGTGCTCCAGTGTTATAAAAGAAACTTTTACAAACTCATTCGTTTTTGAATTCCCTTATTAAGGATCTATAAATACGTGAAAAGGAGTCCCGTTTCTCTTCTGCAGCAACACAAAAAGGAGAATTCTGCGTAGCAAAGGTTATAATCCCTAAGTGATTGATTAACTTTCGATAAGGGAATTCAGATAAAATGGGTCTGTAAAGATTTGATTAATATTTTTTTTTAATTAATAGTTTTTATAAAAACTATACATAAAATTTTTAAAATCCATGCATTCGTTTCCAAGAAACTTTCGATTTAAAGAATTGTTTAATATGAACTTTAAACCCTAATAACTTTTGTAGTTGTAGTTTATACATATATATATTTTTTATAATTTCCATTCGTACTGTCATCAGGTATGTAACTTGAGAATGGAAATCGCTGCATCTTTTAGGCGCATCAATATTACATAGTTACACCCCAAGCTAATAAAAGCGAGGTAAAAACGCGATTTAGCTCCTTTAGCGGGAGCCTTAAAAAAAGTTTAAACCCAAAATCTTCTCAACATACATAAGTGTTCAAATAAAACTGATCTACACCAAACTTTTTCTCGTGATACGGCCTATTGTATATACAGTTATGGAAAATAAAATAGAATAACGCATAGTACATTATAATCAGGGTCGAAGAATATAAGCAAGAAAAAATTCATTTTAAGCGCTTAGATAAGCACTAAAACATTGGTAAATATGCTCGCAAAACAACAAAAATCAAGTACAGTTTAATGTTTTGTTTTTTATTTAGTTTATTTCAAGGATTGAAAAATTACAATGACATACAAATATTGCTTGATATCAAGGCACATTAAACAGGTAGTATCAGTAGAGCAAAAACATTTGCGTGTATTTTGTTGTTGCTTCTGGTATCGAAAGTGTCAACAACTGTTCTGAATTTTTTCTTCTAAATCAAAGCGTGCCATGTGAAATACAAAAAATTATAAAAAATAAAAAATTGAAATTGGAAAAAATAAAAATTGATGCAACTTTCTTTCCTAGTAAATTTATTTGCTTCTCGAAGCATTGATCCATCCTTTGCAATGCCCAGTAATCAGCGGCCGTGCTGCCGAGTTGGGCGAACGTTCCAAAAGCTGCTATTCAATCGCTTGTTTTGTATGGAAAAAGGTTTCACAAGCAAATGGATTTTAACAACTTATAATTTTCGTGAGAAAAAATTAAAAATATTTGACATTTTCGAGACCAAATAATTTGAAAATAAATCAAATCAGCTGCTCTACTGATACTACCTTTTCAATGTACCTTGCTTGATATTATCAAATGAAAGAGATCTGCGCAGGTCGTTTTAATTTTTTTTAAATATTCGTCATTCTCCATTTGAGAAAACTTATTTTAAATCTCTTCAATAACACCAATGCCTTCAAGTAGAGACGAACCATTGGTTTTAAATGTTTGTATCCAAGCAGAAATGCAATTGAAGTTACGGGTTAATAAAAACCAAATACATATGTTTTTATATAATTACTTGTAAATATTCGGCATTTTAATTCGACGAATAAAAAACGCACAAGAAATGGTCAACAGCGACTGATGCTTTGGCATGATTAATTGCTGAACGCACCCATTATTCTAGGTTGTAATTTTCTTAATTTTTTTTGCTGACATTTAAATTTTCCAACTCCTTTATTTTTCGGTTTAAGCATCTTATTTTAAAATACATAGGTTCTACCCAAATAAAAACGTTTTAGAATTTTTTCATCCAATTTCACATTGGTATTGATAAGCAAATTGTACACATAGTTTGGAGCAGTACTAAGTAAATGGCCATTCAATTTCAAAAATCTAAATTTGGTTTAAATAAGCCCCCTTCGGAAAGTAGATTTAAATGTGTACAATTTTGTGTCTTTTCATTGCACGTTCTGTACCCGTACTGTGTAAGTCCATTTTATTTACATATAATAATGCCCCCGAAGTTGTCCAAACCATCAAATTCGATATCAGTTAGTGAGTTCATTTGATTTAAAAATGCATTGTCCTCTTGCTGTTCTGTAAGCTAGAAAAAAAGAGTATTTACTTATGAGATAATACATATAAATCAATACTTAAAATATTAGAAGCCGAAAATCTACTTCAATTTCTTTTTTATACCGTGAAAAACCCTACCTCTGTTTGATACCCTTTGTGAATTAAGGTAACGATATGTGCATACATACATATAAGGTTTTTATTTCCCCTAAGTATACAATTTCAGATTTCTCAATGGACTTTTCTATCAATGGTGGCGTGTGGAATATAAAAGCGTACCCTCTGGAAAGCATACGTACCTTCTAAACAGATGGATGCCCCTTCTTTATGGCATTATACCTATCCCATAGGTCAGGTTACTTTTAGCCCCGTAATAAAAAATAATGACATCATTTATTTATATCTTGGTTTTATTTCTTGATGACAAATTTATTACAATTATTCTCATTTCCTGATTTTGTGGTAGCAATTAAATACTTTATATCCACCCTTTGCCGATTCATCTTTCCCCATAAGTACTTCCCAACCTACGCCTCTTGCCACCACCAACCTTTATAAAGTTGAAATTGATCATTGATCATAACATGATGGTATGCCTTTGCAAGTGTAATTCTTTTATAAATCCATGGAAATGATTCTTGACAATGAATGTTCCTCCAATTGTACCTTACCATCGTAATAATGAAAAGTGGGCCAGATGGCAAAGTCTTACTTGTTTAAGAAAATATTTCTTTTTTTTTATTAATATTTTTGTTGTTCAAGTCTTTAGTAATTTTTTTGTTTAATTAACATTTTAGCGTAAGAAAATCAATACGCATGTAATTAAAAACAAAAATAAATAAAAAATAAACATTGAAGTTAACATTACATTTCTTGCAAGTACAAAAATGGAAAGTTTTGCCATATAGATGCAAAGGACGTTGATAAATCAATCCTTAACACCCACTCGAGCACAAACTTGGTCTTTATGAATTAGAACACAAAATGTTTTTGTTTTTTGCTGATGGTGCATGTGATTATACTATGTATATAATGAAAACATTTTGTGAAATTTTCTTTATATGTGTTAATGAAGATGAATTTAACTCCATACGGAACTACTTTTTTTATTTTTTAAATTTGCGAATTTTGAAAGTTTCCAAATAAAGAAAAAATCGACATTTTTTAGCTTTTTGGTTGTAGTATTCTCCTCATGTCCCACTCGTACATAGACGAATGCACGACAAGAAGAGTTTGCCAATCTTATTCTTTTCTCTCAAGTTTTTGTAACATTTTAAATAATTAAAAAATAATACATTTGAATGAAAACTTAAAAAAAAAATCTTTTAAAGTTCTAAAATTTTGTTTGGTTATAGTTTTGTGAATACCATTAACCAGTTTAGAAGCACTTCCTGTGCACAATTGATGGGCCGGATTCGTCGTATTCCTGTTTCGAGATCCACATCTGTTGGAAGGTAGACAGAGAAGCAAGGATAGAACCACCGATCCATACAGAGTATTTGCGTTCTGGTGGCGCAATGATCTTGATCTTCATTGTTGATGGGGCCAAAGCGGTGATTTCCTTCTGCATACGGTCAGCAATACCTGGATACATAGTGGTACCACCAGACAGCACAGTGTTGGCATACAAGTCTTTACGGATATCCACATCGCACTTCATGATGGAGTTGTATGTGGTTTCATGGATGCCAGAGGCTTCCATACCCAAGAATGAAGGCTGGAAGAGAGCTTCTGGGCAGCGGAAACGTTCATTACCGATGGTGATCACTTGACCATCAGGCAATTCATAGGATTTCTCCAATGATGAGCTGGATGCAGCTGTGGCCATCTCTTGTTCGAAGTCGAGAGCGACGTAGCACAGTTTCTCCTTAATATCACGAACAATTTCACGTTCGGCAGTGGTGGTGAATGAGTAACCACGTTCAGTCAAGATCTTCATAAGGTAGTCGGTTAAATCGCGACCAGCCAAGTCCAAACGAAGGATGGCGTGTGGCAGGGCATAACCTTCATAGATGGGCACAGTGTGGGAGACACCGTCACCGGAATCCAGCACGATACCAGTGGTACGACCAGAGGCGTACAGCGACAGAACAGCCTGGATGGCCACATACATGGCGGGTGTGTTGAAGGTTTCGAA